TATGATGCTGAGGCTGGTGGGAGCATGGCCATGTTGGCTGTGGCTGATGGGAACTGTGGTCCAAAACATCTGGAGGGCACCAGGTCAGTACCTTGTATCTGCCTTCCCTCGATCAAATACCTTTCAGCAGGGTTCTCCCTCCTCCTTTTTCCTGCCCTCCTGTAGTACTGTTACTGGCATGCTGAGCCCAGAACTTTAGCTGGTGAAGCTTTCTCCATCAGTGACCTCCATGCCAGGAAAAAGCCACACCGGTCCAGTGAGGCCTCCTGCCTTCAGGACCAGCCTGGCCTCTCTCGGCTGATGCTCCCCGGGTTGTTTTTCAGAGTTGAAGAACCCCAGCTCCAGCTTTTCCTCCGTGCTGGTGTCCAATAACACAGGGGGAAGCAGGAATGGTCTGGTGCTGAGCTCTGTCACTGATACACCTTCCCGTGGGATCAGTATTTGTGGACACAGCATTTCCTAGTCTGAGCTGTAAACCAAGGGAGGTGGTGGTGGGGAATGGACTGAGATATCACCTGCAAGGGAGGAGAGGAGGCTGGTTCTGCACTTGAACGGAGAAGCAACTTGAGCCTGGCCAGTTCAGAGTGTGTATAAGAGGTGGGAGACCTCCTTAAGAGCCTACGACAGCTGGTAGCCCGCTGTGGTTGCTGCTCTAGGGTTGAGAAATCAGTGTGGCTCAGGCAGGGCCACGTTTAGGTGACAAACCTTCAAGGTTTGTCATTGCCCAGAGTGTGTTGCATGAAGGAATGGGACTGGGGGGGGTGCAGTTCCTAGAGCAAGCTTCATAAGCCTGGTGCCTTCCAGATGTTTTGGACTACATTTCCCATCACCCCCAGCCAGAGCGGCCATGTGATGCTCTGGCTGATGAAAGCACAGCTGTACTGGCTCTGGCTGATGGGAGTTGTGTTCTGAACATCTGGAGAGCCACAGGTTCCCCGTCCCTGATCCAAGTCTTACACGTGCATGATGTCATATCTTGGCTACAGCAGCATTTCAGGTCCCAAAATAAAATGGTTGCAGAGGCGCCGACTTGGTGGCACCAACCAGTGACGCATGTGCCATTGTGTCATGACATCACTTGCGCCATCACATGTGTGCGAAAATGGGCTCCGCGCTCGGCCACCTCCCCTCGCTGCCTTATCTCTGCTGGCTGTCCACTGCCCCCGTGGCAACTAGGCCAAGGCCTCTGCCTCCACCGCAAGGCCTCCATTGAGGCCCGCGACAGCCACAGACATACTTCTGGAAGTGTGGCCTCAATGGAGACCTCACGGTGGAGGTGTTGGCTGAGTGGCTGTGGAGGCAGTGGTGGGCGGGCGGCTGAGCAACGGAGGCCTTGACCCTAGCCTTGGCGGACAGCAACAGTTCAAGGTGGTCTGGGCCTCATTTGTAGGCAGGGGGGCAGTGGTGGTGGGGCATGCTGCGCTGAGCGCCCATCTTTGTGAAGAGGCCTCCTCTGCCCCCTCAATATTGCAGGGCTCAGCCCCCTGTCTACAAATATTGCAGGGGTCGAGGCCTCATCAACCCCATAGAGATGGTGGCTATGGTGGGTTAGTATTGGCAGAATGCAAGTGTGCAGAGCTTGGCAGCAGTCACAAGGTGGGTTAAACATGGCCAACTGCACTGAAGAGTCAACAGGGCGGGTCGGAACTTAAAAGAACAAGAGCAAATCACTACGAATCTATTGCTAGGAAATGCTTGGAAGTCACCCATGAAAATCAGAAAGGCTAAAATTGTGTGCCTGGGCACAGGAGGGTGCTGTGAGCATTAATTAGAAAATTGAAAGTTCCTTCTGGTGAGCACAAAGCACCCATTCCCAGCTGAGGCCACCTGCTGCCTCTCTGCAGGAGTCCTTGCTCTGGGCTTGCCGCCTTCCAGTCAGCCCCCTCGATTGTGAGTACATTATTCTACATACCTCTGCCTCGGATGTGGGACCACATCATTCATTCGCTGCCCAATGCATCTCTCAGTGTGAAAGTGAACCTTCTCAGGAGCAACTCTGGAGCTTTCATTCCAAAGGGTGTGGGTGTGAGTGTCCTCTAGTTCCCAGAGATGTGGGAAGTGTGAGTGTAACACATTCAACTCTGTGGAGGCCCCATGGCAGTTGTGGGGGGCTCACAAATTATCTCCTAATATTATCTCCTAATATGTGCAAATGTTGTATTAGGATCTGGAGTCGGCAGAAACTCGTGACCCACTAACTCACAGAAAGCTTCGTACCTGGAGGTTTCTTGTGTGCATTTGACTTAGAAAGCTTGCTTGTAATTTTCTTTCAAGACAGAATCGGTATTATTTTGACCTGTTGTCGCGGAGCCCCTAAAAGGCATGGGGCCCGGAGGCCGGTTCCTACTCTGCCTATTTGGTAATCCAGCCCTGGTGCAACAGAAAGAAAAGAAGCAACAGCGTGGATCATTTTAAAGCAGGGAAAACATGCAGGGAAGAGGGTCTGGATTGGGATCCTGGTAAGATTTAGGGGGCTTTAACCAGTTGTCCCCACTGTGGTCCTTAGCTGGACCAGGGCCCTGGGCCTGCCCTTTGCATTGGAGGAAAGTTCCCCTTTACACCATTGGAAGTGCCCTTGCTGTTTACTAAGCAAATACCCATAGATGACGCCATTGTAAATTGCGTGAACAGCGCCGCCCTCTCTCGTTCGGACCCAAGTTCACTTGTTTAGCAAAGCATGGGATACTTTCACCTTTAGATCTCAGGAAACAGGGATTTATGTCCCCCCCCCCGCCCCGCCCTTAACAACTTTTTAGGGCAATCCTATGCGTATTTTGTCAGAAGTGAGCCCTACTGTGTTCCATGGCCTTTCCTCTTTTTCCCTATTGTAAGAGGCATAGGAGACTGAAATATACTCAGAGTCGCAAAGTGATTTCATGCTCTTTATTCAGCTCATAGTGGTGAGGAGGAATGAATGAATGTCCCCTCAGAGTATCTGCTTTATATACATTATTTACACAATGGGCTGCACATGATTGGCTAATTCCGGAATTCTACTGTAAGCCAATCAGGTTGTGGATTCACTTCTATCTGGAGCATGATTGGGTAGTTCCTGCCAACCAATCATACTGCTGCATTGTTCTAGGACCAATCAGACTGCTGCATTCTGAATCCTATTGTTCTAGGACCAATCAGACTGCTGCCTTTTGGATCCTATTGTTCTAGGACCAATCAGACTGCTGCAGTTTGGATCCTATTCAACTCAGTACATAACAGAGACCGACTCTTCCTTTCCATCCAAGAAGCGTGGGCAGGAAGCAGGAGCTCCTGACGTTGCTGCCCTTGGGGGCTCTGAACCTGTCCTGTCCATGCATGGCCTGGTCCTGCTTGCATTTGGTAGATGGAGGGCTGGACATCATGGCAGGCGTGGAGTCCCTGCAGATGTTAGTGCCCAAATAGTGGGAATGTGGGAGGGGGGCTGGGCCAGATCCAGAGCTGGGGTGAATGTTCTCCACTCTTGTGCAGTCAGCTGCTTCAATGGGTCAGTTACCCTGACATGGAAGAAGGCAGCTTTGTCTGCTGATACGAAGTGTAGTGGTTACTAGCATGGTGGGCTGTGGTGGGTGTTAAAGGAGGGGTAATAGCTCTGGTGGGGGGACACATCATGCTCCTTCTGGGGCGGTTTGTGCACCTTTGGTCCCCACTGTGTACTCAGCTCTCACCTGTGGCTCCTAGAAGCTGTCAGCCTGCGACAGCGGCCACAGCCTGGGAAACAGCTTCAACTGACCAGCTAAGCCAGGTGAGGGTAGCTGATGGGTCTCAAACCCTCTGCAAGTGTGGGGGTTCACCTGCATGCAAAGACAGGCTCCAGCGGATTGAGCGGACAAGACCAATACTGCATTCAATGCTCAAGAAGGCAGTTTCTGCCTGTGCTGTAGAGGAAAGTGAGGGGCAGATGGGGCTCTTCAACCCGGGAAGGTAGCCCGTCTAGAAGAAGGAAGACTCTGTTCCTAAACCTAGGCTAAGGAATAAACCCTAAGGCAGTTGGATGGTGCCTTGTTACTCCTCCTTTTGGCAACTCCTGCAGCCAAGATGGTGCCAAATGTCTTGCTCTGCTTTCCTTTGGACCACATCAGAAGAAGAAGAAGAAGCGTTTGGATTTGATATCCCGCTTTATCACTACCCTAAGGAGTCTCAAAGCGGCTAACGTTCTCCTTTCCCTTCCTCCCCCACAACAAACACTCTGTGAGGTGCGTGGGGCTGAGAGACTTCAGAGAAGTGTGACTGGCCCAAGGTCACCCAGCAGCTGCATGCGGAGGAGTGGAGACGCGAACCCAGTTCACCAGATTACGAGTCTACCGCTCTTAACCACTACACCACACTGGCCCTCAGAGAGGTTGAGGGGGTGGGGTCTTGTTGTCTGGGCTGCCCAAGACCTGCAGACACACTGCTGAGCCGAGAGGGCATTGCAGGGGGTGCCAACACAGTGACTTAGAATGGGAGGCGGGAGGGGGGCACCATATTTTGGTCTTGCACAGGGTGCTGCTGAAATTTGAAAGCTCCAAGTCTACTACTACATTTGGTTGTCCACTGTGAGAACAGGATGCTGGACTAGATGAGCTCCCTTTGGATTCTCTCCAGGTCACATCTCCTTCAAAGGCCACACCCCTCACCAGCTGCTCTGTGTCTTTCAACTGGGATAGTGCCTCTGTCTTCCCAGGATGGAGAGGTGTGTGTCTGTGCGTGCGTAGAACAAGGTGATTACAGGATGCTGGGTAGATGGGACCCTTTGGCCTGATCCAGCATCTGGGCTCCTCCTGTGCATTCCCGCATGGCCAGGTGACACATGGCTGAGTCAGGCAACAGAGCAGACGACCACTGAATATTGAGAGGCTCAGGAGGAAGGGACTGATCCTGGCCGAGGAGATCTGTGCTGGGGTCCCCAGTTCAAGAATCATAGCTGACCCTCAAGCGGCTGGAGGGAGCGGCACAAGAGAGCGATGAGTGCAGAAAAATAGTTGTGGCAGCAGCTTGCAGGACTCTGAGGGTTAAAATGCATGGATAATCTTTTTATCGCTCTCTCTCTCTTGTCTCTTCCCCCTTCTCCCTGGAGACCACAGGGGTTGAGTTTGAGTTACTGGTAAGCGGATCCTAGTTGAAGCAGGAAGGCAGGGATTCAGGGGCTCAGCAGGCGCTCCAGGCGGACGAGGCTGACCCCACTACTGATGGGAGTGACGGCTGCCCAGATCGTGCCCCCCAGGAGCCCCTGGCCACAGAGAACAGGGGGAGGAGAAAAAGGCTGGACTCCACGGAAAGAGAAAGGAGTTTGTGGACTCCTGCAATCGGGTTAGAAAGTGAGTGAATCATAAGTCGAGGGGAGGGTGGGAGAGAGGGGAAATGGAGAGCAGCCAGCGAGAGAAAATCCAAATTTGGAAGCGGCCTGCCTTGAGAGGCCAGGAGATCCAGAGAGGCAGTCAAGCGGAGGAAGAGGCAAAGCGTAGGCAGGTGGAGAGGGGAGCAGGGTCAGTGCAGCAAGAGGCAGGCGCCCGGCTCTCTCCCAAGGCAGCCCGGGCAACTTTGCAAGTCAGGGGAGCCCAAGGCAGAGGGGAGGTGAGCCTGTCAGGGGAGAGGCTGCCGCGGAGTCTGCTGGAGCGCAACGGGATGCCCCTCAATGGAGAGGCAAAGGCATCAGCGTCGTCAGGGAAGCCTGTGCGCTACTTGGAGGTGCGCCTCAAGATCCGCGACTACCGGCACACTTGCAAGAAGCAGCTCTACAACCTCATCAGCTGCTTTGTCCGCCTCATCTCAGGCAACCTGTCGTCTGAAGGTAAGCCCAGGGGTCTGCCAGCAGCTTGGAGAGGCAGCTGAGGTCACCAGTTGGGCTTGCTGGGTGGTGGTAGTTACTTCCCTGGATGGTTCCGAGATGGGCTTAGAAAAGCAGATAAATTTTTGCGGAAGGCGTTTGAGCCCTCCTTGAGGCCTACGCTGTGGCCAGAGGGACCTCGCTCTCTAGGGAATTCTTTATGACAGCCTTTGCCAACCTGGCGCCCTGCAGATGCTTTGGACCACAGCTGCTATCAGCCGCAGGACTGCGTGGCTGATGGGAGTTCCCATCTAGAACACCTGGAGTGCAGCAGGTTGGTGCTGGATGCTGAAGTGCCGACTACAGAAAGTTTCCACTCTGTGGCCCATCTTGTTTTCCTCTCTTTGCCTACTTCCCCCTTAGCTGGTACTTGGACATCGCGGCTGCTTCTTCTCCCCGACCCCAGATGTGGAAACAGCCGGCAGTTCTGAACCACATGCAATGTTACTTTTTTATTTAATGCGCCAGACCTTAGTTACCCACAAGAGAGGTTTCTGCAACAATAGTTGGCACTTCCAAAAGGAAAAAAAAAAGTGGTGGGTTCTGGTGGCATCCAGGTCGCAGGGTGGTGTTTTTCAGGAAACTGGTAGATTTCCAGCTCAAGGGCTCAGCGCAGAGAGAGAGACTCTGTTTCAGAGAGAGTAAGTCATCTCCGGTGAAAGTTTCGTGTTTCTTGCCTGGGTGTCATACAGGCAGGAGTGTGTGCCGTTGAAGATCAAATGAAAGTGATGTTGCTAGGATGACAAGGTATAATGTTAATTAATCCTGGACACTGGCCTTTGCTCAGATGCCTGCTGGTGGGATGAGTTCCTCATAAAGGAGAAGCCTGCACTCCTCCCTTGAGCTCTGCACATGCGGCAGCTGTTTAGCCGGGGGACTGGCAGCAGAATGTGTGAACTGGCTCAACTGGAAAGAATTCTTCATTCGGTTTTCTTTTCTCCCCGCCTTCGGTATTGCAGTATCACACCCACCAGAATATTATAGTCTCAAAAGACATAAGCTTCCGTGCCCTTCAGTCTGCCTTTGGTGAGTTGAATTGGGCTGTACAGATTAATCAGCTACAGCTGTAGTTGATTAATCTAATTGCTCAAAGTTTGTAAAGAATCCTCTGGCCTTTTCATGTCTCCTGCTGCCAGGTGTCCATGCGCCTTGTTTTTCAGAATGGGGTCCTCTAATTGGAGGCCAATCCACTCCAAGTACGGCTTAAGTGGTTGCATCCAATGTGACAGAAGCCAACTTCCACTTGGGCAACAGAACGTCCACTTTCTTGCCTGTCCCACCTCCTGCAGCCCCCAGATCTGCTCCAGAGAGTCCTCCAACCCTTCGGAGCAAATCTGGAGGGCGTCCTGGGGGAAGGGGAAGTGTTGTTGCATGTGTGGAAATGTGTCCTGCTTGTGCACAAACACCATTGGATACAATCCAAAGACCCGTCTTGATTGAAGTTGTCGCTTCGTCCTGCACAACAGGCTGAGCAGGAAGGCACATGCGTCACCTAGTCACAAACAATGTGAATCGGGGTCGTTTTTTTAGATGATTTGTAAGTTGCACCTTGGGGGACGCGGGTGGCGCTGTGGGTAAAAGCCTCAGCGCCTAGGGCTTGCCGATCGAAAGGTCGGCGGTTCGAATCCCCGCAGCGGGGTGCGCTCCCGTTGTTCGGTCCCAGCGCCTGCCAACCTAGCACTTCGAAAGCACCCCCAGGTGGAAGTAGATAAATAGGGACCGCTTACTGGCGGGAAGGTAAACGGCGTTTCCGTGTGCGGCTCTGGCTCGCCAGAGCAGCGATGTCACGCTGGCCACGTGACCCGGAAGTGTCTCCGGACAGTGCTGGCCCCCGGCCTCTTGAGTAAGATGGGCGCACAACCCTAGAGTCTGTCAAGACTGGCCCGTACGGGCAGGGGTACCTTTACCTTTACCTTAAGTGGCACCTTACCTGCTACATTAGCATAAACGAAGTAGCGGGCTTCTGAAGTTGTCATTGCTTCGTTGCATTATTTTTCTGCGGCAACAATTACACATCAGGGAGCACCCTTCTTCTGTTGGGGGGCGGGCTGCAGTCCCTGTGGCACTCCATCTCTCTCTCTCTTCCTCTTCCTCCCTGGCAGGGACATTGTCCCTTCCCATGGATGCCAACTGACTGTACCTGACTTCCTCCTGGGCACCCACTTGGTTTCTCTCTCTCGTGACATGGGCAAAACCTGCCCTCCAGAGCCAGCAAGGGATGAGATAGAAGCCATGGTGTCTGTGTAATGGAGTGTGCAGCTCATACACTCTATGGCATGGGTAGGCAAACTAAGGTCCGGGGGCCGGATCCTGCCCAGTTGCCTTCTAAATCCGGCCTGCGGACGGTCCAGGAATCAGCAAGTTTTTACATGAGTAGAATATGTCCTTTTATTTAAAATGTATCTCTGGGTTATTTGTGGGTCATAGGAATTCGTTCATCCCCCCTCCCCCATATAGTCCAGCCCCCCACAAGGTCTGAGGGACAGTGGACCGGCCCCCTTCTGAAAAAAGTTTGCTGACCCCTGCTCTACGACACCCAGGGATTCTGGCAGAAGGGCTTTGCAGTCTTGCTCCAAGGAGCACCAGGCAGCTGTCAGGCAGGTGGAGCTCTTGGCCTGGACTTTGCTGTGCAGCAGCAGCAGCCCCTCCTAATGGCCAGGGGAGGCACTGCAGCTCATTTGCCCCGCCAATATAAACTTAGGGTGTTTTGAGGCTGCCCCTATTTTGCATGTGGGATTCAATCACATACTGCCCAATTAAGGGTGTGCAACAAGAGTGGGTTTGGAGGTCTTGCATTACACACCTGCTTCCCCCATGGACACACACACACACACATCGAGCTTTTTGCAGTAAGAAAAGTGACATGAAATGCAGGGGGTAGGTGTGGGACAGCAATTGCTGAGACACAATCTCATCTAACCTGCGGACAAAAAAGTAAGACTGAATGGTCAATATAAATAACTGATGTTGTCTAACCTCCTCACAAATTTGGGCAAGGTCCAATCTCCTTCTTTCATGGCCATTCTGGAGGAGGAGGAAGAGGAGGTTGGAAGGGGTCATGGTGCAAGTTGGAGGCTCACTGAGGCTCATTTCTATTTGTTGCTTAGTCGTTTAGTCGTGTCCGACTCTTCGTGACCCCATGGACCAGAGCACGCCAGGCTCATTTCTATAGTGCTATATTATGATTTTGCCTTGCATCCAAACTTTCACCCACATTCTCTGGAATTTAGCCCCCAACTTTAGTCATTCATTCCATTACTGATATAGTATTATAGCATTCCACTCCTTCCCCCCCCCCCAAAAAAAAATTGTTTGCAGTGGCTGGTTTGGCTGCCACTGGTAAATTTGTAATTAGAGGCTTGTGTTCCTTTTGTGCCATATTGTCCAATGAACCAAACAAGATCACAGTTGGATTCAAAGACGCACTGTCATTTAGTGATTTTTTCCCCAGGATGCTTTCGGAGAGAAGTGTAGTTGTACTGAGTTGTTGAAAACTTGCAAACAGGCCGTTAGCAAAAGGAAGAGGAGTTGATTGTTAAGCCACCTTGGGAATTGTAGCTTCCTTAAAGGAGAACAGGGGTCTCCTAACAACTCTCAGTGCCCTTAAGGAACGACAGTTCTCAGGATTTGGTAGGGCAGGTAAGATATGGCTGTTTAAAGTGGTATGATACTTCTTTAAATGTATGGTGCAGATGGGACCCATGGCATGCTGGAGGACGCAGCTGCAGAAAATCACCAGTCTGGAGAGACCCAGCAGGCTGCTCACTTTCCCTCTGCTGGGAAATGTCCTGCGAGTCCATTGGGCTGAGGGACAGCATCTCTCCTGTGCTGCCTCTACTGACTGTTTCAGCCTGCGGTGGTTTGCAGGGAGTTGAGTGTGTGGATTTGTTCTGACTCCCTGTGACTTTTCTGACACAGGCTGAGCCTCTGCGCTGAACCTGTCCAACCACTGAGCTTGCCACTTTTCATGTACTGTGTCCAGTTCTGGGCACCACAATTCAAGAAGGACACTGACAAACTGGAACGTGTCCAGAGGAGGGCAACCAAAATGGTCAAAGGCCTGGAAATGATGCCTTATGAGGAACGGCTAAGGGAGCTGGGCATGTTTAGCCTGGAGAAGAGGAGGTTAAGGGGTGATATGATAGCCATGTTCAAATATATAAAAGGATGTCACATAGAGGAGGGAGAAAGGCTGTTTTCTGCTGCTCCAGAGAAGCGGACACGGAGCAATGGATCCAAACTACAAGAAAGAAGATTCCACCTAAACATTAGGAAGAACTTCCTGACAGTAAGAGCTGTTCAACAGTGGAATTTGCTGCCAAGGAGTGTGGTGGAGTCTCCTTCTTTGGAGGTCTTTAAGCAGAGGCTTGACAACCATATGTCAGGAGTGCTCTGATGGTGTTTCCTGCTTGGCAGGGGGTTGGACTCGATGGCCCTTGTGGTCTCTTCCAACTCTATGATTCTATGATTCTATGTACGTATGAGGTCTTTGACAAATAGGTGTTTGGACACTAAGGCTTCAGATTTCACGCAGCGGAACAAAAAAAGAGAGAGAAGGCAGTAGGCTTCAGGGGAGATGGAAAAGTAAGAGAAGGTCAAATACAGAGTAACTTTAGGAATCATTGATGTACGAGATAGTGTTGATTTCAGTCCAGCTGAATCAACCTTTGCCAGCCAGGTGCTGTCCAGATGTTTTGGACTAAAATGCCCATCAGCATGTGCTAACTAGGGCTGATGGGAGTTGTAGTCCAAAACACCTGGAGGGTACCAGGTCAGAGAAGGCTGAACTAGATGATATCACCAGGAAGGGACAATTTTGTGTTTTTTTTAATAAGATATTGATTAGTGTTTTACAAAAAACATAGGTTTACAGAATAAAAAGAATTAAAACAGTAATTAACATACTAAAAAGAAAACATAGAAGAGAAAAAAAGAGAAAAAAAGAAAAAATACAAAGTTCAAAA